TGGACAGTTATGAAAAATTAAATGCCACACAAGCAGTGCGCTGACCGATTTTTTTTCGACGAAACAACTTTGGCCTGCGATAATAAAATTATGTTATCAGGAATATGTACCGGAGGAAAATGAATGGGGACCCAGAAGTGTTTTTCTTTCTTCCTTGGAGGCGACAAACTGACTGAAAACTTAGGGGATATTTCTTTTTTGAAGCCATGTTAAGAATACCACCCATCTTGATAAATTAGCGATAAAATGCCTGACAAACACCACGTGTAAAACAAGAGTTGTCATATTGTCCGTTGCGACTAGAAGGGTGATAACGGCGATTGAAAGGAAGAAAAGGGAAAGAGAAGAGATAATTTTTTTTTTAGTTAAGCAAGATATTTTTTTTTCCCGAAACAATGCCACGGATTGTTCACGCCCTACTAAGACATCATTGGTCAAGTGGTGGTCACGTGACGCACGAAGGAGGAGGAAAGATACCCGACCAAGACCTCATTGGCCGAGTGGTGATCACGTGACGTACGAAGAAGGCTGTCGACGCCCCATCCAGAGTATAAGTATGAGAAGCTGCTACAAAGAAGTGGGAGGGCAGTTCACGCCCCTCAGAGGTATGGTGAGAAAGTGGGAGGAGGAAAGGTTCCCAAAATGGAAAAGAGTGAAAATCCCTAACCAGAAATAAAAGAGGTGGATATGTATTAAGAATTATCGAGGAAACCCCCCCGACCCCAACAGACCCAACCCGGTTTTGGTCGGCGTCAATAAAAGCGAGGCCCCAACAGGCAGAAATCAGTTGGGGCTCGAGTTTCCAGAGTTGAGCTCCAGCAGAGAGTTGAGTTTCCAGAGTTGAAGCCGCCTCGAGATAGCTGACCAAGATTCACAACAATTCCGGACTCCTCTTCAACCCAAGAACAATTATTTTGAAGAGCGACTTAGGAACCAAACCACCGAAATAAGTTTTTTCGACTTTCGTCCAAAGACACACCGAAACACCAATTTCTTAGAGAGCAAACAACTTGAAGCGTTGAAAACTTGCCTAGCAAACGACGTGTCACAATCCACAGAACGGGTCGGGAGATGGATGCAGTCCTATGTATCGAACAACTAGACAAAGTTTGTTACCTTTTTTCTTTGATACTTTGAACTTTTTTGAGTTTTCATTTTATTTTCTTTTATGCATATTTGTGTAGTATCACCCCGTTGAACTCAATTTGCATTACGGCCCCAACCACTGTTTGATCTCGTCTGTCTAAGATCAATTCACAACGTGGGTAGGCAGACTGGAGATCAATGCAGTTACCTTGGTAACCAGGCGTTGGAAGCGAGTTGGGAACGACGAGGCTGATATCAAATCTAACCAGATTCCCACCCGAATCACCAAAAGGTTAGAACGTCACATTTGGGTGCCGCGACCGATACAAAGCCAGTTGGTCGTCACAGGACGAGACAACACGACTGACGCGACAGGCGGACGTCACGTTTGGAGCAGCGACACCCGGACGGAGCAGCGAGGAGCGAACAGCTGGCGCCGCGGCGAGGACGTCACAATTGGTGCTGTTTGGGGACGTCACAACTGGCGCCGTGGTAGATCAGGATAGAACGTCACAGTTGGCGCTGCGACCGGGGGACGACGTCACACAGATGTACAGATAGGAATCGTCTGCATGTATTGAAAATGCGCCCTCTACATTTAATGTGAAAATGTTATATTCAGATATAAAAATAAAAATTAGTTTGATATCTTTTGTGGATGAAATGAACCATTTAACAAAGAGAAAATTCGATTTAACGCTTTCGGTGAAGACAGATTTCGGGCATTCGCCGTTATGATTGCCTCCATAGATTTTAATTATTATTCGTAATTATCTTCACCATACACCGGGAAAACTTGCAGAAATTTTAAAAATCATTTACATCATGAATTAAAGGGAGCATTTTTTTATTACGCCTGACATGGCCTTTTAACAAATACGGTACATATGTACATATTTTAAGTGGAAGGCTACAGAAATGTCCCAATGTCTTTGGATGGCCGCGACGTTTATTAAGTGGGTGACACTATCTGAGATTTGAGTCCCTGCTAAATTCATATGCGATAATTTCAGATGTCTTAAGTAGTAAATTTAAGTTGTAAATGAATTATCTATATCTGCACCGAATGACCTGAAGATTAAGTCTCTTCGAGGTTAATAACGCCGGCTAATCAGCCGAACTACACTTGGTGACCTCTCCATACATTATTGTCATCGCAATGAAAGGCAATTTACTAAGTATAAATCTATCTTAAATACACACGGGTCTGCATTTTTGTACGTGTGTGAGTGCATGCGCGCGTGCATGTGTGTATGTGAGTGTCATTGTGACTGTTTGCGTCTGTATCACGTTGGCTGAAACTGCTCTCCAAACGATATTGACAAAAAGACGTTTACTTGTAAAATCTAAAATACCCATCAAAGTAAACAACATTTCAAAAAGACCAAACGGAATTTTTTTATCATCCTGATCCAAAAGTATTGCATTACTATTTTATATTATCGTAGAAAACCTGTCTCTTTTATTTCACCTCTATTAAATAATTTGAGCCCGATTTTGTTGTCGGCTCTTTTAATTTTTAAGCAACGTCGAGCCTGGTCAGTACCTGGATGGGTGACCGCTTGGGAATACCATGTACGGGTGGTGTAATAAATAACGGCTCGAAAGAGCCAAGGTCCAATTCCAGTCGGGTTTTTTATATTCACTTGCATTATTTATATTATTCGGACTATTATCCTCATCTTCATTGCCATATTCACAACGTTTCGGCCTTCGTCAGGTGATTGGCATTTCGAACCGAACTCTTTATTTCGTCCACCGGGGTAGATTGTTCTAGTTCCACGTATCATGCCACTTCCGGCTGTCTCAGGCCACATGGCCCAGTGGATAAAGACGTTGGTTAGATCCAGTGACTAGACCCAAAGAGTTGTGAGTTCAATACCAGGCCACAGCAGTGGTGAACCAAAACTTAGAGATTTAAGTCAAAGGGAAATAAATCGATAACCAGAAGGACAGATAGCGATTGACATTGCATACGGATTTTTAGATGCGACCTGAAAGACATTCCCCAAGTTTTGCTATCTGTAGTTTGTGTTGGCAAATGACGACAGAAATTATAAAATATTTAAGTAGACCTATGTCATGATGTTCCTTCAATGAAGTTCATATCAGAATGTGCTTAGCATGACAGATATAGATCGTTCTAGGTGTTCATTTATTTTTTAGGCCAAGATATTTCTGTATTGCTCATACGTAGCAATGGTCGATGTTACGGCCTATGTAACAGGAGCATATTTTAAGACAAGCAAATTTCCCCCACCTGAATCAAAGAGGCAGCACGGTCTACTCATATTTTATATCCTTCGTTTACCCTTCCGTCTGGTTGAATTATTTTATGATTAACTAAACTATTTTTATGATTGGCCGAACAATTTTTATGATTGGCTGAACTATTTTTATGATTGGCCGAATTATTTTTATGATTAGCTGAACTATTATTTATGATTGGCCGAACTATTTTTATGATTAGCTGAACGATTTTTTTTGATTGGCCGAACTATTTTTATGATTAATTGAACTATTTTTATGATTGGTCGGGCTATTTTTATATTTGGTTGAATTATTTTTATGATTAGTTGAACTATTTTTATGCTTGGCTGAATTTGGGTGAACTGTTTTCATGACAGGTTGAAGTATTTTTAAGTAATTTTTAAGTATATTTAATATATGAATGAAATACATTTAAAGTTTCGTTAAAAGATTTTAATGATACGCTGAAATCGGTTAAAGGCACGTCAGGCTTCGTATTGGATACAGGTTCGATTACTGTCGGAGGACGAATATTTTCTATGAAAATTTCTCGGACATTCAGGCCGGTAAATGTTGTTTAATACTGTTTATTATAAACAGAGCATTTACTTAAATATTTATATCTATAAAAAGAATGTATAAACATAGAAATGTTTTAAAAATAATTGTCCATTTCATAACGTATATAGTTCTTCAAAGTGACTTGACCGTAACAATTTACTGTCAGATTGAACTTCTCTAACAATGCCCTAGTAATTGAGCATAAAATATAGATTAAATGTATTTTTCTATATACTATCTCCTTTCGGGGTGTGGATAATCATACACTTTCACGACATCTTGTTTTAGTTACTCTAAATCCGTGAAATACAAATTCGCGTTGGAATGATGCCATCCAAAAGCAGTTCAAAATATTTATTTTTGTTATATTATTGCTGGTATTAAACCTATTTTTACACTTTCATAGTGTATTGACCCCAGTTTAACTATTTATCCATAGGTGGGACCCTAACAGGTGTTAGCACACTGGTCATGCTGGACTTGGGAACACCAGTAATTAAGAGGAGATTCCATGCTCATCAAAACCTCCTGATCAGAGTCCTTGCTGTTGGACGTAGTTTATCGTCTTAGTCAGGACGCGGATGTAGTTTATCGTCTTACCCAGGACGCGGATGTAGTCTATCGTTTTGCCCAGGATACGGATGTAGTTTATCGTCATACTCAGGACGTGAATCTAGTTTATAGTCTTACCCAGGACGTGGACGTGGACGTAGATTATCGTCTTACGCAGGACGCGGACCTAGTTTATAGTCTTACCCAGGACGCGGATGTAGTTTATCGTCTTCCCCATGACGCGGATGTAGTTTATCGTCTTCCCCAGGACGCGGATGTAGTTTATCGTCATGCCCAGGATAGAGGGATATCTGGCTATGTTTTTGCGCTAAAAGACAAGCGACAGTGACTGAAATCACAACCATACTCACGATGGGCGGTAGCTGACGCATATTCAGAATGTCACTTCAGGCATTTTTTCGTTTCCATTGGATACAGGATCAGAATACCCACTAGAGTGCCCCTGTTAATATCAAGGCACCGGACGCAATACCTCAATTAGGCTTGTGACGTCGCTTAACTGAAGCCTGTGTTCCAGTGACTTTTGGATAATGTTCAGACTAGGGTGTGGCGAAAAACTTCATCGGCCCATATACATAACATTTACACTGCTTTCTCTTTTCTCCACATTTTCACCCTTACATTACAACTCCATCTCTTCATTCTTTCTTTCTCTTTTCTCTCTTTTCTTTTCATTCCCCTATTTCTCTTCCGTTCTCCCGTCTCCCTCTCACTCTGTATCTCTTTCTTATCCTCTCGTGCCCGCTTCCTCTGCTAAATACGGGTCTTTTCGTTCTCCTTCTCTCTCAGGCTTGTTTTTATCCTTCTCTTCTCTCTCTTTATCTTAAACTCGACCTTTCTCGTCTTCCTCTTTCACTCTCTATCTTGAACACCTAAAATCCTTCTCTTTCTCGTCCTGGGTAGGACGATAAGCTACATTCGCGTCCTGGGTAACACAATAAACCTCGCCCAACAGCAGGGCCTTTGATCAGGATGCTATGCGGAGCGTGGGACCACCTGTTAATTGCTGGTGCTCCCAGGTGCACCCTGACCAGGGGTGGGGTAGCACCTGTTACGGTCCCAGCTATGAGCAAGTAGTTAACCCTCCAAAAGTGGTCAAAACTTTATGAAAATATAAAAATATGTTTTAATACCAAAAATGTTTTTTGGAACATTTTTTACCAGCAATAAATTTTTGAAAAGATATTAACAGCAATACATTTTTGGAAAAAAATATTACCTGGAATACATTTTTAGAAAAAAAATGTAATCATCAATACATTTAAAAAAAAAATATTACCAGTAATAAAAATCTAGTCGCTATTAAATAACCCATTGAGGTTGATATACCGAAAAACAAAACAAACCTTCTCTTTTTCTTACATATTCTTAATAGTTCTTTTTTTTTACTCTCCATCTCTCTCTCTCTCTATCTATCTATCTTAAACTCGACCTTTCTCGTCTTCTTCCTCTTTCCTTCTCTATCTTGAACATATAAAATCCTTCTATTTCTTTCTTTCTTCTTAGTCTACACATATTCTTAATCGTTCTTTCTTCTTTACTCTCCATCTCCTTCTCTCTCTCTCTCTCTCTCTCTCTCTCTCTCTCTCTCTCTTTATCTCGACCTTTCTCGTCTTCTTCCTCTTTCCCTCTCTATCTGGAACACCTAAAATCCTTCTCTTTCTTTCTTTCTTTCTTTCTTTCTTTCTTCTTAGCCCATACATATTCTTAATCGTTCTTTCTCTTTTACTCTCCATCTCCTTCTTTCTCTCTCTCTATCTCTTTTGCTTGAACATAGACAATCTATCTTTCTTTCTCTCTCCCTCTCTCTTAAATATACGCATCCTCTCTTCATTTTTCATTCTCACTGAATGTCTTCATCTTCCCCATTTAGAAAACACTCAGACAGCCTCTCAACAAACGGCATAAAAAGGTAAATTTAGTATTAAATTGATCTCATTCCTTCGCCAGTAAAACTTCAGTATTTCCAGATTCTTTCCTTTTCTAGCAACAAATAAATTCCCCGTCAATTTATAGCGAATTACATAAAGAGGGTTTTTTTTTATTATTAATTTATCAGTTCGGATATGCCAGAAAGAAAGTTCTTTGTTCATTCTTTTTTATATTGAACGCAATTTAACGCCTTATTTTTCAGCGATCTCTGATTGGATAGTTATTTTGGAATCCTTTCTCTATATTTTTAACTATCCATACTTATAGATAGACAAGTACAATACGCTCTTCTTGTAATAACGGTTAACTTGCTCGATCAGTGTTTTCATATCTCTCTAAGTATTCTTCTGTTTGACCCATTGTCCTGAACTAAGCTACACTGAGTAAATATCTATATAAGTACAACTGATCGCTGTATACGCCGTACTAAATTTATTTTTTATGTCATTGCAGAATTATTCATTCCTCTTATCCAGTGCTGATTTGCCTAAAACTGGGTAGAAGTGTTTTTTTTTTTTTTTTTTTTTCACTATTTACATTATTTGGACTATTGTCCTCATCTTTGTCGCCATACTTATCACAACGTTTCGGCCGTTGTACGCTCCGGCCTTCTTCAGGTGGTTGGAATGTCGAACTGAATCCTTTATTTCGCTCACTGGGGTAGATACTGTTCTAGTTCTACGTGCCATGTTTAATGGGTATCAGTTATCAGACACGTGGCACAGTGGATAAAGGCGTTGGTTAGATCCAGTGACAGGACACAAAGAGTGTGAGTTCAATACCCGGTTAAGGCAGTGGAGAAATTGCAGAGGGGAATTAACAGGAGATAACTGATAATTGACATCCATTAAACATGGCACGCGAAACTAGAACAGTGTAGCCCAGTGAGCGAAATAAAGGCTTCAGTTCAACATTCCAACCTCCTGAAGAAGGCCGGGTCGTACAGCGGCCGAAACGTTGGCGACAAAGATGAGGACAATAGTCTTGCACTTTTAACATGAGACGAAAACCAGATTGTCAAAAACTAAGGTATGTTTATTCAGAGAATATGTTTAAAAGATAGATAGATAGATAGATAGATAGATCTCCAGAGATTGGGATAGATAGATAGATAAATCTGCAAGTGAATCTGCAAGTGAATACAAAGGCAATAGATATAAACAATCTTGCACCAAATGACCCCAGAGCAATTTCATATTTAATCCACGATTATCCATTGGATAGAATTATGATACTTTTGTAAATATGCGTGCGATTTTAGGTGAGACGTTTAATGTCAAATCAGCAAGATTTTGCACTAAATGACCTTCACGCACCAATCAAATGTGGAAGATAAAACCGAATACAAAACTAAAATAGAAACGAAAAAGAAAAAAAGAAAATAAGAGAAAGAAAAGATTAATAAAAATTGGAAAGAAAAAGAAGGAAGGAAAAAAATGAAAGAAGAAAAAGAGGAATTAAAGAAACGGTAAGAAAGAAAAAAGGAAAAAATGATCAAGCTGAAAGAAAGGAAGAAAAAGAAGAGATGAAAAGTGAAAGAAAGAAAAGGGAAAAAAGAGAACAAAGAAGGAAAAGAAAAGGAACGTAAGAGGAAGCAACAGAAATGAAAAAAAAATAAAGAAGGTGAAGTGAAAAAGAAAGAGAAGTAGAAAGACTGAAAGGGAGAAAAGGAGGGGAAAGAAAAGGAATATTGGAAAAAGAGAACGATAGAAAAAAAGCGGAAAGAAATGAAGTGAAAAGAAGGAAAAATGAAAAGAAGGAAAAAATGGTTGAAAACAAAAGAAAGAAATGAAGAACAAAGAAATACAAAGCAAAGAAGAAAAGTTGACATAGAAAAAGAATAAAAAGAAGTGTAATTACGATGAAAGAAGCGACAAAAAGGAAGAAAAACAAAGGAAGAAAAATGAAAAACGATAGGAAAAAGGAGGAAACATCGGTTGATATGAAGGAAGGAAAATATAATTCAAAGGGGGAAAACAGTTTGAAAATATCACAAAAAGGATGGAAATGCAATAATATATGCATACTATTGTATTGAGCCCTATGTTGTGAGCGTTTTAATTTATATTTGATTCGTTCTCTTTTCATTTAGGTATATATATATATATATATATATATATATATATATATATATATATATATTTTGTAGGCCTGATGAATTGGATCGTATTTACGATTCCAATGGAATAAATTATGATCATGGAATATTAGTGTTTAAGCCTTTTTATTATATCCTTACTCTGTCCTGGACATTGAGTTCTACCTGGCTTCTATCCTCTTGAATTTTTTTTATACAAAATATATATGTATGTGTATGTATATATATTTATATATTTTGCATATGTATGTGTATATTTACGACTAATATTAATATATATATATATATATATATATATATATATATATATATATATATATATATATATGGTTCTTCCCTTCATATGTAAAAATTAACTCTCAAATGAATACAGCAATTTTTGTTTTTGAATATGAACACTACCATATTTGTCTTGAAATAAACAACACCCTGATGAAGACATTGTGCTCTGTCGAAAGTATTCGGAATGAAATAATATGTTTAAACACGGCGATTTTCTCTCTTCCTTTAATAATAACATCAAAAAGCTTGTCTGTGAATATTAAAGGTTCCAGTTGAAAAAAAGTAGACAAAACTTGTTTAAACTATTCAGTGAAATGATTTTTTCTCTCATATTCTCTCTCTCCCTGTTTCTCCCTCTCTCCCTCTTCTTGTTTCTCCCCCTCTCCCTCTTCCTGTTTCTCACTCTCTCCCTCTCCCTGTTTCTCACTCTCTATACTATTTTTAATTATTTCTTCTCTCTCATCCTCTCTATCTCCTTCTCTATTTCCTTCTCTCTCTCTTTCTCTCTCTCTCTCTTTCTCTATGTACTATGGACTTTAAAGATCTGTTTCTATAGAATCACAAACAAAAGAACTGTGCCAAATAACAGAAATCCCATTGAAGACTTTCAACAGCAGCAACAACTAAAATGGATAGCACATGTAATACGTAGAGAAAACAATAACATCATCAACACTTCACACACTGCTTCAAACAAAAGGTTAGGAAGGAAGACCCTCATTAATACTGGAAAGAGCGCGTGGTCAATGAATGCCAAATGTTTCTTTATAAGGAAACAGCTTATATCATTATTACCATTACTATTATGTTGATTACTCTTCACGCTTCTACCTTCAATATGCCTTGTGTTTGTTTAATTCTCCAAGTCTTCTTTCTCAATTATGCGTCCCAAAAGCTTCATCTATTTTTCTTATTGTTAGCAGCAATTTTCTTGTAGTTGCTATTCTCTTTAGAACTTCCTCGTTATTCACGTTTTGTCCGATCAATTCTTGATATTCCTCAGTCACTTCAAGTCTTTTTCTTTTCATCTCTGATGAAATTAGATATTAAATAACTGTCTAGCAAACTCAAAAAGGAAACTGCAAGAATACTTAGACATGGTAGTGGGTGAAACCGAAAAGAAAGGATTATTAGCCGTAAGAATATATGATCCTTAGCAAAAGGGACAGCCTATGGCGTGAGCTATGAATAAGAGACGGGAGAATCAAGCAGGGACAAAGGTTTAATTTATCTGAATAATGTTGTTTCGTTGATTTTGTTTTTTTGCTATTCGCCTCTACGGCTTATTTAATGCCGAAATCCAAATATTTTGAACGCAAGCACATCCCTACAACTGCAGATAAAATGTATTGTTGGTCATTCTGATATAAAAGTTGACCATTGATGACAATTCCAGAATAAAGTATCTATAAACATTTTTTTCTATCTTCTGCCAGCCGCAATGATGGAGAAAGCATTACTTCGAACCATCGCCAGTGAGACACGCTGCAAGAGCCACCCCGTTTCGTGAAGCTCGTCCCTTAATCGAGACGCAATCGCGCCAATCCTCCGAAGGAACGCCATCGAACGAGGGCCAATAACCCCAAAAGTCTCCACTGCCACAGGAGTTTAAAAAAAATCTATCAGCAAGAGAAGAATATTTAACTATTTTATTTTTATCTCTGCGTCCCGGGCGACGGACCCCGGCTCAAGCGCGGACCTGATCAAAATACCGGTCGAAAATGTTTCCGTACAGGTCGCATCCCAAATCAACGACTTCCCCATTTTAAAAGGGAAAATTGTAATGCCATCCGGCCGCTTTCTGTCCCTTTCATAAAATACATAAATAAAATGTATTAGTCATTATGCTTTAAAAATGTATTGATGATCATTTTACTATAAAAACGTATTTTTATACTTTTATTGTATTTTGTTTTTGTTTGGGGGGGGTCACTGTTTGCCATTAGTTTATCGTCATACCCAGGACTAGAATATTATCGTAACAGATGACGGAAAATCTGACCAAGAATTTTGAAAGAGCATTGGTCAGATCGAAAGATGCTTTCCAAAAACTAAACAAGATATCAAGACATATGACAATTTCGTTAGAAACAAAAGAGTGCTGAAATGCTATAAATTCTCTATCCCCCTATAAGGCAGTGAATGGTGAACTCCGATGAAGGTGAGAATTGAAGCGAGAAAGATGTGGTTCTAGAAAGGGAGCCTGAGAATACCATAGACGAAAAATGGATCAACGAGGAATTTTTAAAGAAAATCAGAACGAAAAGATCACTTATTCTTAGAATTAGAAAGAGAGACAGTTGAAGTTTCTGGGATACATAATAAGGAAGGAAGGTTTGGAGAACATAACACACCCAAGAGCAGAGGGAAAGAGAGAGTAACTTAGCTTACATTTTTGTATAAACAGATGGCTAAACAGGGACTGGAAGGAGACAAACCTTGCCTAGAATTACAAAGGATAAGAAGCTGTGATGAATCATGGTATTTCACCCCCGGAAGGGCCAGGGGAAATAAAAGATCTTGGCGGTTTAACGGTATAAATGGAATAAGACGTTTTTGTAGTATTGTGTCAGGAAGCCCCGACTTCTAGTTCAACAGATTCTTGACTCACAACTTATCACCCCTAAAACAATTTTTCACTCTTACACATACTCTCACTATCTCTCTCTCCCCTCTCTCTATCTCCCAATATCTCGCTCTTTCTATCTCTCTCCCTATCTTTTCCTATCTATCTCTCCATATCTCCATCTCTCCCAATCTCTCACTCTCCCTACCTCTCTCTCCCTATCTCCCTCTCTCTCCTTCTCTCTCCCTATCTCCCTCTCTCTCCCCAACCTCTCGCTCTCTCTATCTCTCTCTCCTTATACCCCTCTCTCTCTCCCAGTCTCTCGCTCTCCCTACCTCTCTGTCGCTATCTCCCTCTCTCTCTCCCAATCTCTCGATCTCCCTACTTCTCTCTCCGTATATCCCTCTCTCTCGCTCCCAATCTCTCGCTTTCCCTACCTCTCTCTCCCTATATCCCCCTCTCTCTCCCCAATCTCTCTCTCTATCTATCTCCCTATCTCCCTCACTTTCTCCTAATCTCTCGCTCTCCCTATCTCTCTCCCTAACTCACTCTCCCTACCTCTCTCTCCCTATCTCACTCTCTCTCCCCAATCTCTCACTCTCCCTATCTCTCTCCCTAACTCACTCCCCCTACTTATCTCTCCCTATCTCCCCCTATCTCTCCCTATCTCATTCCCTATCTCTTTCTCCCTATTTCCCTATGTCAATCTCTAGCTCTCCCTATCTCTCGCTCTCTCTATCTCTCTATCTCTCTCCCTACCTCTCTCCCTATCTCTATCCCTATGTCTCTGTCTTTCCCCCTCTCTCTCTGTCTGTCTGTCTGTCTCACACTCTCTCCCTATCTCTCTCTCTCTCGATCAATCGATCGAATTCTCTTTTTCGCTCACTCACGTTCTTTCTCTCCTTCAATCTCTTCACTTTCAACGCCATTCTCTTTTCTTTACTCGCTTAGCTTCTCGTCTTCACGCTCTTTCTTCACACGGACAAAATTTCCATTCTCTTAGTCATAGTCTATTTCTCTCTTAGGCACAAACACAAACTCTCTCTCCCTCTCTCTCCCTCTCTCTCTCTCTCTCTCTCTTTCTTTCTTTCTTTCTATCTCTCTGTAGCTGTAACCTCACGCTCACATTCTCTTTCAGTCCAGTACAGTCTCATTCTTCCACAAAACCTCTCTCTTTATCGATCTCTTTTACCCTCTTCTACTCTTTCTCTTGTTCACATACACCTGCACACACACACACACACACACACACACACACACACACACACACACACGATATCAATTCTTCTGCAGCAAACGTATACATAAATTTCCTCTTACACTTTGAAATCCCTCTTGCACTTACAAGTCGTCTAACCTTTTTCTCTTTTCTACTCCCTTTTTCTCTTTTCTCTTTTTGACACACCCACACTCACAAACATACAGACAGACAGACATACATACATGCTCACGCGTATTCATTTTTTCCCTCTTCCTCCTTTACGGGACATTCTTCATTCTTGATACTGTTATCAAACAGAAATATATTTACACAAAAGAATACAATAAAAAAAAAAAAGCAGGCGAAATTCAGACATCCTTACAGATCTAAGTCCCATGTCTAATACTCTAACCGCTGAGAGAAACCAGACCTTAACGAAATCATCCGAGATTTTATATTGCAGTCAGGAACTTTAATCATGGAACGCCGCTTGATGAATTTGGGAGAATCTCCGGGAATAAATCCTTGATCGCCTTCGAGTCAAACCGGCCCGAAGATGACCAGACACGAGGCCATTTGCATTCTGGCGCCTCTCTCTGAAGCTGGTTTCTTTCTTTTGTCGCTACTGTTTTGCCATATGCGTATCACGTGGACGTTGTCCCTATTACTCATGTGTACGCCACAAAAAAAAAAGACCCATCACCAGACTTGATAAGAGGGGAAATCAGAATGCCAACAAACGATTGGCGGTCTTTTTGGTTAAGCAACACGCAAGTGTCGGTCTCAGCTTGTTCATTGTTTTCTTTTATTTAACATTCGCGATTTGTGAACTTCTGCACCATTACAAAATTGCTGGCTGATTGAAAAGTTGAAAAGAGGCTGTGTCATCTGAAGAATCTTTAATTACAAACTTTATCGATATCTCTACATGACCTGACACAGAGTCTTTAAAAATAGCGCCATTGGTATTAATTATACAGTAAGGAATTCATGAAAGAGGCCCAAAGTCCAGGGGTTGGATTTACGCGATAATGGTGAATCATCTGATTGCATATATATATATATATATATATATATATATATATATATATATATATATATATACTTGTCTGCATATATATCTGTAGTTATATATATATATATATATATATATATATATATATATATATATATGTATATATGTATATATATATATATATATATATATATACATATATATATATATATATATATATATATATATATATATATATATATATATATATATTATGTATATATATACATATATATATATATATATATATTATATTATATATATATATATATATATATATATATATTAACTTCTTCTTCTGTATATATATATATATATATATATATATATATATATATATTGTATATATATATATATATATATATATATATATGCATATGCAAAAAAGCTAACTGAATTTTCATCTGAGATTTTCACCATAAATGCTTGATGTCTTTCTTCTTTTATGTACCGTGTCTCTTTAGGACAGGGGGAACATGACTCTCCACAACTTCCTGTTTTTGTCGCTGTATGTCTTTTTTGATCCTTTATTATCTCTCACTGTCCTCATTCTATCATCATACGAAAACGTTAATTAATTTACTTGCAGATTTATATATATATATATATATATATATATATATATATCCTTTATAATCCTAGAGCCAGGAACTACCTACTTATGTACCCTGCCTAAGCTCCATTTAGTTGAAACCTAGGTAGGTAATTCCTGGCTCACTAGAATTTTTTAGGCTCTGCTTAGCATATTGAGCACTTTACATAGGTACCTCGAAAAAAATTGATAGAAACAGAGCATAGAATGATTAAAGAGTGCCTTAAAGTTGATGAAAATAATTTTTTCTGTCTAAATGTTTCTGTTATTATCAAGACGAAAGACCAAAGTATTTTGGGGATATTTTTTACAATTTTTAATCATTCCTAGCACGTCCGAAATTTTCGTTAAAAATCTTGTTTTTTTCGAGGGGGGGGGAGGTTTGAGTCAGCAAAATTGACAGAAAATCGATCATGTCAAACATTTTTTCCATTTTATAAACAAAAATGAAAATCTCCGTTTAAAATTCATTTAAAAATTAATTATAATTTTTTCAAAATTTATTTTAAGAAAATTAGAAATTTAAAGTTTATTAAAAATATTTTGAAACAAACATTACCTACGCCGAAAAATGTAGTTTTAAAATGAGACAAAGCAGGTTTTAACATTTGGTGTCAATTGATAAGTGATGAGTAATGATTTCATCACGTATTGACAGCTTACGCGAGGAAAAGTTATCGTACGGAAGGACAGAAGTGAAAACAAAAAGCATCTAAAAGCATTTGAAATTAAATAATATCTTTGTTTTAAGTGAATCATTTATTTACCTCGTTATTTTTAAGAAAAAATTTCAGCGCTCTAATTTTTTTTCTTTTACTTTTTTTGTATTTAGCTTTCACCTTTACATTTACGATGCATTATGGAAAATATATTATAAAAAAATTAAAATAAGACTGTTGAGAGTGAGATAAAATTTTATTTTTGAAATTTTATCAGAAGTGTACATAAAATACTATAATTTTATGTACATTTATTACATTTTAGGTACCTATCTTATTTTTCATAAGATAGGTACCTAATAATTGTAGGTACCCTTCTCAATTGAAATTGAAAAATCAAATTAACTTCTCCTCGCGTGTTTCGCACGAAAAATTCGCAAAAAAAAGGCCTTAACAGAGGGGAACAACGCTTAATTCAAATAGCGTGACGTTTTATTGTTTTCATGTACGGTCTTTTATGAACATAAAACCCATGCAAAATTGGATTTTTACTACAATGGTGGTCCGTTGATTGTAATAAGCTTTAAAATTTATAATCTGTAAAGATAGATCTACTTAATAACATCATTGACTAAACTGTACACCATTTTCACTAATTTTAGAATATTTAACAACTTTAATGTAAAAATAATAAAATAATTTAAAAAATAACAAATAACTGTTCTAAAAATTCATTTTTAATCGAAAAATTGTTTTGCTTTCAGACAATATTATCCATATTCATAAAAACAACAAAAAGCATCTAAAAGCATTTGAAATTAAATAATATCTTTGTTTTATTGAGATTTTTTTGTTACAATTCACAGCTGATTTCCATGTAGAGGTGGTCCGATTAAAAAAAAGCATGATTTGCTTTTCTCAATACAATAATTTTATGTACATTTATTATATTTTAATGTGTTATTTGTACATCCATTCATGCAATGTGATTACTTTTTTTTTTTTTAGGTAAGGTAATTTCTGTTTTATAGGAATTTATAGTTATAAGTTATAGAATTATATAAGTTATAGAATTGTCTTGCATACAAGTAAACATACTTTAATTAATATAAACTTTGAATAAATAATATTTGCCACAAATCCACAGGCGAAGAGAGAGGGAACGGTGCTCCAAACTGTTCAACTGTCGAACTCGCTGCCTTTGGCAGAGAGGAACCCGGACGAGGCTTTGCCAAAAAGCAAAGTTACGTCCGGGGAGGTAGACAGACCCTGAGCTGTTCTATACGGGTTCTAAGGGAATATTTGGGGCCGAGCCTACGGGCTCGGAGAACCTACGATAAACTCGGCCTTATGCTACATACATCCTTCGTAGTGGGGAGGGCTGTTAAATATAACGAAAAGATAGGGGGTTGGCTATGATAGATAGATAGATAGATAGATAGATAGATAGATAGATAGATAGATAGATAGATAATCAGTCTTTGATCACGATGTCTGGGCGATTAGTTTTGATTGTTCTGTCTGTGTATTTTAAAATCCCATAAAAATTCCAGTTATCACGTTGAAATACCTTTTCTTCTACTATCGCCGAAGTTAAGCAACTTCTGCACATAGATGGGTGACCACTTGGGAAATACCAGGATGTGCGGATAATGGTCAGAGTTGAATCAGACCAGGAAACAGTACTATTAAATAGTGCTCAATGTACGTGTGAAAAAATAAAATGAAAGTAAAAATAACATGTAGAGCTTTTAACTTTAAAAATCAGGAAGTCATTTGAATCCGCTACCTTGGTTTCTTATGGCATCCTCAGGCTATTTTTATCAAATGACCTCTTAACGCTTTATTTTTTAAAAAAACTAATGCACGCTATATTATTTTTAAAAAAATAAATAAACAAACGCACGACGCTCAGAGTAATAGAAAGGGAGGAGGAGGAGGTGAAGAAGGAAGTAAAAGAAGAAGGGGGAAGGTAATAAGAGCAAGAGTGTTATAAATTTATCGTTGTCGGGTTAATTGGTATATATATATATATATATATATATATATATATATATATATATTATCTTGCCTCATATGTGCTTAAGAGAAACATTCTAATATGTAAACAAAGACTTAAGACTTCGGATTTCTGTTTTAAAAGGTTCTTTGCGTCCGAATAGATTATAATTGCTAATTTTAATATATATTTAATTATAATTTCTGATTTTTAAAGATAGATGTTTTTAAATACCGTTTCTTCTACGATCACCGAAGTTAAGCAACTTCAGTACCTAGATGGGTGACCACTTGGGAATACCAGGTTTTGTTGGATGTGTGGGTACTGTAATGGACCTATAAGGTGTTGATGGACCGTAAAAAACAAATCAAACAATCAATCAATTATTCTGCCCACTTCTTACAAGTATCTTACATCAGAACTACTTTCAGAAAAGGGGATAGGATTTAAGTGAAGTCGAATGATGCGGTCATATATATAAATATATACGAAGTGGCATGAAAATTAACACATGCATATTTTCAGTATTTCATGTGGCATAGCGCGAACGTTTTGAAATAAAATTGGATATCTTATGTCTAGATAGATGTCAAAGATAGTATCTCGTATTGTTCTTTCTTTAGGACTGAGTTTGTGTCTTGTGTGTGTCAGTATGCGTGTAAGTCAACATGCAAAGAGATAGATAGATAGATAGATAGATAGATAGATAGATAGATAGATAGATAGATAGATAGATAGAAAAGTAAATTAGATACATACATACAAAAATAAAATAGATAGACTGATACGAAACTAATATAGATAGATATATTACGAAAATAGATAGATAGATAGATAGATAGATAGATAGCAAAGTAAAATAGATACATACATACATACGAAAATAAAATAGATAGATAGATAGACTGATACGAAGCTAAAATAGATAGATAGATAGATAAAATACGATACATAGATAGATAAATAGATAGATAGATAGATAGATAGATAGATAGATAGATAGATAAAGATAAATTAGATAAATTAGATACATACATACATACGAAAATAAAATAGATAGATAGATAGACTGATACGAAGCTAAAATAGATAGATAGATAGATAGATATATTACGAAACTAGATAGATAGATAGATAGATAGATAGATAGATAGATAGATAGATAGATAGATAGATAGATAGATAGCAAAGTAAATTAGATACATACATACATACGAAAATAAAATAGATAGATAGATAGACTGATACGAAACTAAAATAGATAGATAGATATATTACGAAACTAACATAAATAGATAGATAGATAGCCAGTCAGCCAGCCAATCATTTTCTCCTCCGTGAATTGTTGGTTACGAGCCTTCATGAATAGTCATCTTGCTCGTCGGGTATTTCAGCCACCTGTGTGTCACCCGAGACCGAGTTGAAAACAAATTCCGTCTTTCATTACAAGCGTTCACTAGATTTGTATTAAGAACCTCGCGTATTTCAATCCTCAGTCCGATGCTCTAATTCTAAACTTTTTTAATCCACAAATATCTATTTCATATGAAACCATTAAGTAATTTTTTTTTACCCATTTGTCTCCCTTTGAGGCAGTCAAACAAAAATTGCGACATTTGTCGAGGTAAATTAATACAGCAGTTTTCACCGTCCATTTAACAAACGGATAAGGCTTTTCAGTGCTAAATTTTGATTGGTGAACATTTGTTAAATCCGACTGAAAAGGTTGATGAAAAACTTCAGTTCGTTAGGTACCTGTCTGCTTTTTACGGTTTTGCCTTCCTTTTTTCCCCGATTATACAGTGAAATATAAAGCAATTAAAAATTGCTATGCGCATCTAGTTTCACCCATTAAGCCGTTCTGATTGTAGGTTAATGTTATCTCGAAAAACTGTTCACTTGTTCACCCAGCATTACATTCGTCTCAATTAACTTACACAAACACACACACATACATATATATATATATATATATATATATATATATATATATATATATATATATATATATATATATATACCGATATGAAAAGCCAAAATTTATATATATTACCACTCATGATAATAATTAAAAATATCTATCTATTCTACCATATCTATATATATTTATCATTGCATGCTTGCTTTTACACACACACACACACACACACACACACATATATATATATATATATATATATATATATATATATATATATATATATATATATGTGTGTATATATGTGTGTGTGTGTGTGTATGTGTGAAATTAGTTTTGAGGTTTTTCCATATCAGAGATAGAGCTTAAAATATATAGAGTGAACATTGAAGTCAACACTCCAGAGGCGACAGACTGTTTCAAGCTAAACGCAATGATCAGGCATGATGATTGCGCTTAGCATGAAACAGTCTGTTGCCTCTAAGTGTTGACTTCAATGTTCACTTATATATATATATATATATATATAAGACAATAGGAAAACTGTAATAGTTGTCGACGCGTTTCGTCCAATGTGGACTTTTTCAAGGCAAAAACGAAATAAATTTATTAAATAAAGTAACTAATAATAACAAAACATTATTATTTTTTACTTTTATAAATATTGTCTTTGTCTACAGGTTAACTCTGTGAATTTTTTTCATATATATATATATATATATATATATATATATATATATATATATATATATAAATGAATGTTTCATTAAATAATATAGACAAGTTTTGTCTATTTATTTTAAGTAAGTTCCTTTCATATTGTCTGATAAAGCTTAATCACATTATCATTGAAAGACGAAAGGAAAACATCATATTGATACACGTTAGATAGATAGATAGATAGATAGATAGATAGATAGATAGATATTGAGAAGGCGAGAGGTTGAGAAATTTATAGACAGATATTCCAAATGTTCAGCCATCGTTAAATTCGTCCTAATTATAATAGATCTGGACATATATGAGGGAGTACTGAAAACTTTATAGTACGGCCATGATGGATTCCAAAACAAGTATCTGAGAATATACCTTGAGTAAGCCATCAATGAGAGATGGCCTAACATAATGTTCCGCGGCATGCGCCAAATTTTACTATTCTTATTTATCTTCCAGGCGTACCGATAGTCAGCCTCTGCACTTATTTTTTTAAAAGTACTTATTTATTTATAGTAAATTTTTAGTGCTTCAGTATTTCCCCCCAAAAATGTAATTTTCTTTGAATCCCACTAAACATATGGCTTTAAAAAAAAGTGGGGGCACTTTCTGCTTCAGTGCGTTATTCAAACGAGCCAGTGGATCATTATAGTTTTAATCAAGGAAGACTAATATTTGAAAACTGATCCATGTTCGTTACCGTAAGTTATTTTCATTTGACATTTTCAAAACGCTTGCAGATCATATACTCCAGCTAACCGATCCGACTAACAATAAAAAGCCTAAGTTTAAGATTTTCCTAACATTATGCAAAAGACTGTTGTGATGTGGGGTCTGGCAAGATACAACATTTAACTCGACAGAGTCAGTCGTGATAGCAGTATTCAGTACTCAGCTAGACAGCAATAGTATTATTGGTATTTCCCAACCTCCCCACAAGGTAGGATGCGGCACAATGTGGGGCAAATCCGAGCCAGTAGACTCGGGCAAAAATTCCCCGTAGACCTCGTATACACGGGGCCGGGTAGCTTTCTATCTCCCCAGATGAGACTCTGCACTTCGGCATATCCTGGTCTGGGTTCCTTTCCGCCCGGAGGTAGAGAGGTCGACAAGGAAACCACCCGCAAACCAAGAGGTTTTGCTATCTCAAAGCTTTTCTAGTTATTTTCCAAACGTAGCCTAGATGCGGCACAAGGCCGAAATTATGGTGTACTCAGTGAGGATTGAACTCACTACACAGTTGTAACTGTTCTAGCGAGACAAGCTTGCTAACCATTACACTACCTCGGGATGCTCCAGTAATAGTATTATCTTCCCCTAGACAATTATCGAGGACTACTTATCATGAATGGATCAGTCCATTCTTGATAGCAACGAGGGTAAGTAGCTCTTACAACAACATCTCCCCTTTGAGATTTACTTGCTATAGAAGTCACACTTTTTTTTCTTATTGGTTTAAGATCCAACACGTCTGTCGGCTGTCTCTTTCTTTTACTGGAACGAATGGTCTCCGAAGCTGTCTGTGACATAGATACATCGAAAACATCATACAAAACCACCATCGGCTTCTCTTCGTTACCACTTGTTGTGATGTGGGGTCTGGCAAGACAACACTTAACTCGACAGAGTCAGTCGTGATAGGAGTATTCAGTACTCAGCTAGACAAGTCACTGTAATAGTATTATCTTCTTCTAGACAATTACCCAGGACTACTTATCATGAATAGACTGATCCATTCATGATAGCAACGAGGGTAAGTGGCTCTTACCGCAACACAGGCAGAACCTCTAAAAACTCGATCCTATTATCTAACCACCGGGCGTGGTCTGCAATTTAAAAAGAAGCTTATTTTGAAGACAACAAATGAAACAGACATTACGTAATAAGAGACTGCACAAGAAATCAAAGACATTTTTATAAAGGCTTTTTGGGTTTTTTGTTTTTTAGTCATGTCGTCTTTCTGGACACAGTTTTCTTTTAAGCTTCATTGTTTACGTTACAAAGAGAAGGGAAACCCCCAGACGCTATCTCTTGACAAACTTTTAAAAAGAGACACCGTGAAAGATGGCGAAATAAAAATAAAATAGGCGACGTGTTGGATTGTTGGGTTAAAAGAAAGTGAAAAAAAAATAAGGACGAGCATCTATCATAGAAGAAGAGCCTCTAAATGCTTGTCTCAAATATCAATTCAAAGGTATGTTGTATAAAAACGTAGATTTTAAAAGCTGCAGTGAACAGAAAAAATGATGGCATTTAAGAGAAGGTAATTATGAAGCAGTCTATCTCCTCCCACTAAAACGGGGAGAGAAAAAAAAAGAATAATCCTCTTTTATTGACTTATAATTTATATAGCCTCAACACACACAGACACACACCTGCTGCGTAGTTGACACAATAGAATGGTTTCTTTTTTCAAGGTGATTCATTGTGCATTTATATATATATATATATATATATATATATATATATATATATATATATATATATATATATATATATATATATATATATCCGAATCATGGGAAATTGTGCGTTATTTAGTGGAAAAGTTTTCAAAAATCTTCTTTAGAATAGCAATTTAAGAAAAATAGATAAAAAACCTTGATTACTTACGAGGCAAGGTAAGAAAGACGGGATTGTTTTTGGTTGGCATGGAAACGTTAATCTTTAAGGTATGTTTGTTTATGATGAAGCAACAAGACACCTAGCAAACACATATGTAATTAATAGGTACATACGATACATCGTATATGTGCGTACGTGTTGTGCGTGTGTGTGCGTGCGCCTATACACACATATATATGAATACGGGCAGATGTGCCCACACGGATATGCATATATGTATATATACTCACACAAACACCCACAAATTAGAGAGAGAAAAGAGAGACACTGAAAAGACAACAGAGAACAAAGAAAGAGGGGGAAAAGCAAAAGAGAGTCGTTAGAAGTTTGTTTTTGTTGTTTTTTTTTTTTACCATTTCATCCCAAGCAAGGCGATAGAAGCCACTAAAATGAAAGAGGTTACTGGGAGGGAGAGACAGAGAATACCATAAAATTCAAGGAGACAGAAGATCACGATTGGCAGTGCATTTAAATTTTTAATGATCTTAGTTGAGAGGAAATCGTAAAGCTGGAAGAAAGTTCCACAAGCGAGAAGTGCAAAAGAAGAAACGATTAGAATAGAACTTACGGTTCGTCGACATCCGTCCGTCTCGAGGCTATGAGCGGGATATATGGAGAACTAGGGCTGCCCGAACGTCTAGTTCCCCCCCTCTCGGCTTTGCTAGCAGAGTCCAAAGGAGAGGATAAACCAATATAGTTTGGTACCAGCACGGCTGCAGGAGTTGCCGGAAGTTAGCACAAAGTGCTGTCCATCCGCCTTGGGGGCACCACTCCGAGTTTGAATTCAGAGTCCTTCTCCTAGACCAGTTGCCATCAAAGGCTATAGAACCCAGTCTGTCCTGCTATTTAGCAATAGCTGGAAGGAGAAGAAGAGGATTCACGCCTTTCCCAAGGGTATTAGCACGTAAGTGAATGTAATTTCGATTCCTCAATCCAAGCCGCTATCCATTACTCCACCGTGCCTCCTTTGAACTTACAGTTACATTTAGCAATTCCAACAATAAAATGTTGAGACCTAGCTGCCAATCTAGTACTACATTTAAATTCATGAAGTTGAGGTACCAAAGAGGAAAGCTTATCAGAAGAGTTGCCATGAACATATTTATGGAAAAACCACAAAGAAATTGTTATAGCAGTGGCAAAATTATTGATACCTAGATGCCAGGTCAGGATTGATAAAATTGCTGATTCTTCTTTGGATTTTTTTTAAAAGAATCTCTAGATATATATCAGAATTACCAGTCCAGATGTGGCAACAATATTCAATGCACAGGTAAATGATAGATTTATAAATGTTTCAAGATAGATTCTGGTGAGAATAATCAATGTGCTTCATACACTGTCATACACATTATCATTCAAACCATTATTCTAAAAACAAATAGTATTAATGAACCAATGTCCTTAAAATTTTAATAGTCAAATCTTTGTACCATTCCTGAAAGTACCTGACTTCTCCTACCATCCTCTATCTCTACAAGAGTCAGATCAGACCAAAAATGGATTATTAATGCCATATCTGTAAATACATTTTCGCAAATACCAGAATTCAGTTTTAAAACATTTCATGAGATAGATATGTGAATACTTATTTTGATAAGGGATGTCCTTGCATAAATACTTCTGTTATATAAATAGACTGTAGCTTCCAGGATGTTAAAGCTACTGTAAAATAAGAAGACTCAATTAGTCAAGTGGGATCTAAATTTCAAAACAAAATGTTCCTATTGATTTTGTTAATAGATTTCAACCCTTCTGTTTTTAATCATTTCACCCCAAGCACCGCAATAAAGCCACTAAGATGCAAGGGATTACTGAGAATGAAAGAAACTGAGAAAATGTTGCCAAGGAAGAAGGATTATAAAAGAGGAGGATTCAAAAAGACAGAAAATTAAATTATTGAATTTTTAGGAAAGCAAGAATTTGGAAGAACCAAAAATGGATTATTGTGACGTGCCCCCCCCCTGGTCGCAGCGTCGACTCTGTCGTTCGATCTCGTTCGCGGCTCCAAGTGTGACGTTCTAACCCTTTGGTTAGATGATTACCAGCCTCGCCGTTCCCAACTCGCTTCCAACGCCTGGTTACTAGGGTAACTGCACTGATCTCCGGTCTGCCTACCCACGTTGTGATTAGATCTTAGACAGACGGGATCAAACAGGGTTGGGGCCCTATGCCAGCTTGGTTCAACGGGGTGATAACACACAAGTAAAAAGAAACTCACGAGGCCAAAAATTACTAGAAAAAAAGGTAATAACCTTTATATCTAAATGTTCGTTACATGTAAATTATTCCTACTTCCCGACCCGTTTTGTGGACTGTCACCAAACTTCTACCATACAACTTAAAGACTTCGAGTTGCCTACTCTCTAGAAATTTGTATGTCGGGGTGTGGTTTGGTTTCGACACTGGGCGCTGATCTCTACCAGTCGTTCACGGCTAATTCTTGTCGCCGTCAGTGCGCGAATCGACTTCTTCTCTTCGGCTTGAGTTGGACGAGCTTATTCACTTCGGCTTGAGCTGGACGAATTTCTTCACTTCGATTTGTCTTGGACGAATTTCTATCCTTAGGCTTGGTTTGATTTCAACTTCTTCTAGGCGCAACTGCAAGTAACTTCTTCTTCGTCCGCCCTGCATCTCTTCTCGCCAAGGTCCGAACTCTTCTCTCTGCCGTCCGGGGCTGAACTTTAACTTCT